AACTTATGATGCTTTTGCTTTGTTTATATGAATGATTCGATATAGAAAATAAATTAATAAAAATAACAAAATTAAAATGAAAGGTAAAGAAATGAGAAGATGAAACAAACCGATCAATAATTTGGGTAAAGAGCTCAAGTTCTTCAAGGGATCCATAAACATCATAAACGTCATCAATAGTTGCAATCAACATACCAACTTGAGTAAGTTTTTCTCGGCAAAATCCATAATCAGGATGATGAACAATTCCAACAACATAAAAGAAGCATTCCATAAGCCTGTCTCTTGAGAAGTTTATTGTTTTTCCCAGATCCAATCTTCTCCACCAGCTATTAATTATTACATTTCATGGAAAAACAACATGAATCACGCATGTTCAATATATATATTTTAAAAAAAATCTGAAGACTTCGGCGATGAAGCGTTTTTTTGTTTAAATTAGGTACCTTCCGGCGTGTTTTAATTCCTTCTGATGAATGCTTTGGACCTTGTTGAAATGGATTTTAGCGAGATGAAGCAATGGAGGGCTCATGTCATCTTCAAGCTCATACATGTCTATATACATCCGAGCTTCCATCCATGGCATCCTGCGATGGAGGGGGAGATCCAAAGCATGGCCTATTGCACTCTCAATGCTACCCGGTAAAATTTCCTGCATATTCTCCCTGTTCATGTGTTTCACTGCAAATGATCTCGCAGACTCCATTTTGTTCTCTCCAGGGAAAGCCATATAAGAAGCATTGTATAAGCTTAGTAGCCCAATAACATCATCAGAGAGTGTTGGTAAGAATGCATTGTGATCACCATCCATGAAATCATCAAAAATCCCTGCATGCATGCATCGATGTACAAGTTATTAATATTATTTTATTTACATATTTATGGCCAACAATTAAAAGATTGCGTAATTGTCCATCACCTGTTGGCGAAGGGGAAAAAATAACTGTTTCGATAAAAGAATTATTTGATCATTTTTTACTTAACTTTTAATAATTATTTTATTTTTTTAACCACATTTTTTATCTTCAAATCGTTTATGACTCGGAGTTTTGGTTAATAAATTAGTTAAAATGCGAACCTTCAGATATTTGAAATCCAAAGCGACGAAGAAGCTGGAAGCAAATAGCCGTTGATCGAAGGCCACAAAGAATAACCTCTTTGCAGTTATTGAGAGATAAAACACTTAAAACTCGGTAGATTTCCTCATGGAAGAGTGAGGACAGACCGAGTCGATCAATGGCCTCAATTAGCTCGAGCTGTTGCTGGAGCTTGATCCCATCGTTAATTTGATTCCTCACTTCTTGCATTAGTTCCTCAGCTAAGCGGTCGTGGACGTGGTCGTTTACTTCCTCCTGCAATATTATGTTCCTCGTGAAGAAAATAATAGGGGGGGGGGGAATGAGATCGGTAATGCCGGCGTTTTTGTGTGCGCTGGAGATTACCGGCGCATTTTACGGCGTCTAGTCCGCCGGAGATTTCTGACGCTATTTTGGCGCCGGAATTTAGCCGTTGCTTATTTACGGTGCACCTATATACGACGGTTTATGCGTTGGTAGTTTCCGTCGCATACATACGACGTAAACTACCGACACCTTAGGCGTCGGAATTATCGATTGAAAATCGCCATCTTTTATATCACATTTTGCGCCGGTAATGCGCCGGAACATGAGCCGGAATGGTTTCTGGCGCATTACAAAACATCGGAAGACATTTAGCGGCGCACGCCAAACCGGCGCAGGAAAATCCGACGGAAATGCGCCGGAAACCAAGGATTTCCGTCGGATATTAGGGTGTACCGGTGGATAATGTCCGCCAGTAATAGTGTGTTTTTCTGTAGTGAGAAACAAAGAGAAAAAAGAAAGATTAATAGACTTTGAGAGTGTTTGATAGCGTGTGCAGTGAAGTATAGTCCCACGAACTCGGTTGGTAATTGGCAGACCTCCGAGCGAATGTTTGGTTGGGGATTTGATCATCTTCAAATGAACTGCGACGTTCCATGATATATGGTGAGAGAGAGAGAGAGAGAGAGAGAGAGAGAGAGAGAGAGAGAGATAGTATTGATATATTGAACTGTAAAATAGTGCCACATAGACATATATAGGCGAGAGCTTTGTGATATTTAATACAAATCGTGTATCACGAGCACTTGACGTGAGGGTTACACGTACGAATTTTCTTACCAAAAGTTTGTAAGTTCATACATGAGGAAGAAAAGTGAGGAAACGCATGATGGAGAAATTGGCCACGTGGCTTTCGGAGAAATTGACCATCAATTTTAAGGTTTTGTGTGAATATTTTTTTGGCTGCTTTTTTAAATAGTTTTATAGTTAAAAATTTATAATTTTGATATGTCACCCAAAATTGTCTTGATCGTGCACGAATCTCGGGGTATATTTAAGTTGCAAACTTTTAAAATTAAATTCAAGACCATATAAACTCCAACATCAAAGAACTTATAGTGAAACTGAAAGTCTCGAAGAGACGAACCGAACGACACTAAAATTGAATCAATTCGAGCCCAAATGAGTCCACATCAGGGGCTCGAAGCATATTTGGAAGGTTCAAAGTATAAATTGGATCATCAAACGATATCCAAATATAACATGCTTATAGTTGAATTGAGTGGTTCAACAAGAAGAATCCAACGAACATAATATCACTTAATTTTGACATCAATTGGGCATATAACTATTTGACAAATACTCTATGATCGAGGGGATCAATATGGGCTGTCTGATGGAGCACTCAAAATCTACCCAAATCTTCCATATATGTAATAGACCCTCACTTCTCACATGAGGAGGGGGGCTTGGGTATTAGACATTTGTCTGGATATTAGAGAGAGTTATGAGAATTTAAGAGCTCCAGCATCACTGTCGGCAGACCACTACCGACCACCAGGCTACCGTCTGACCATCGCCATGTTACCACCGCAATGCATGTTGTCGACCAACACTGGACTTCCACCAGGATGTCGACAAATATCGGACTACTGCCTCGTCGCTGACTGCCGCTGTACTACCGCTTGGCCCCCGAAAGTCGATGAACTTCCTTTCGACCATCGTCAGAACACCTCCTAGCCGTTGACCCCTACCAGACTTCCATCCGGCCGCCAACTGCCAACCACCACTAGACTTCTCTTCGACTATCTTCGGACCATCGCACGATAGCCGTCAACCGCTTAAACGCCAACCTCCAGTGGACTTCCGCTCGACCATCGTCAAACCACCTTCTGTAGTTCATCCGACCTCTGCACCTGCCAAATACGAACCCTCCGACTACCATCAACCATCGACTACGGTCACTCATGTCTCTATTGCCTGCCAACTACGAACCCTCTAACATTCTTCACCTGCCGGCTATGATCCCTCTAACCACCGTCGTTGGCCGTTTATAGTGCCTCCAACATTTGTCGCTCATCGACTATGGTTCCTTCGAACACCATCGCTCTCCATCTATAATCCCTCCACCAGCTACGGTCTCTTTGACCACCGACGCCCCTCGACTAGGTCGGACCCTTCTACTATGGTTGACTACTGACTACAGTTAGTCCCTTCGACCATGGTCGCCCATCGAATATGGTCCTTCTAACCACCGTCACCCGTCCACTATGGCCCCTACGACCACCATCTCTCACTGACTATGATCCCTCTGATCTCTATCGCCTGCTAACTATAGTCATTCCATCCTCCATCACTAGCTGGTAATTATGGCCCCTTAGACCTCCGTCACTCGTTAATTATAATAGATCCCTCTGGCCATGGTCACCCAAGACAACAATCATTCTAACCTCTATCGCCCATCGATTATGGTTCAACCTCCATCGCCCCCCGACTACGATCCCTCTGACCACTATTTCCCGTCGACTGCGGTCCCTCAAACTACGCTCCCTCCAACCTCCATCTCTTACCGACTATGACCCCTTTGACATTTATCTCTGTTCTACTATAGTCCCTCCGACCTCCATCACCGACCTGTTATGGTTTATCCAACCTCTGTCTCTTGTAGACTATGGTTCCTCCGACCACCATCACCCTTTAACTATGGTCCCTCCGTCACCAGCCAACTACGGTCCCTCAGACCACCTTCGCTCGCCAACTATAGTCCCTCCAACTTCCATCACTCGTCGACTATGGTCCCTCTGACCTTTATTTCATACTGATTATTATTCCTTTGACCTCTATCACCTGTCGACTATGGTCCCTCCGATCTCCGTCTCTTGTCAAATACAATCCCTCCGATCTCCGTCTCTTGTCAAATACAATCCCTCCGATCTCTATCAACAGTTGATGGATTATGATTTCTTTGGTCACTATCGCCCATCGACTGCTATTTCTCTGACTTCTGTTGCTCGTCAACTACTGTCCCTCCAACCTCCAATGTCCACTGACTATATGGTTCCTTTGACCTTCATCGTCCTACTAACTAAATGATCATGCCAACGTTCTCTTAAGAATGATTCCCTTGTCATTGGACTCTTCTAATCCCAAATATGTAATGCGCTCTATATGATACATTAAGCCCAGGCCTTCCCCTCGAGGAATTCGAAGGACATATTTTGTAACTGACTACAAAAATTAGTAGAATCATTTTATTTGGGTCAGTCTTTATAGTTTTCCCTTTTTTAGGATTTTTCACGTAAAAAATTAGGTGTCTTTATTACTCTCACACCCTCTCTCTTTATCTATATATATGATATATCTTTATTCAAAGAGAATACATTAAGCTATTTATCTCTCTACCACCGTACATGTTCCAGTCCATAACAAATTCAAAAAAATTTGAATTACAAAATGTTTCAGAAAACATTCTAATAATAATTATACATATTTAATCTAATTAACAAATATATACTAAAAGTTTAATAGTTGGTTGTGAAACCAATTGAACGTTAAAAAGACACATAAAGAGGAGGACGAATTGGTAATTTAAAATTTTTTGAAAAATATTTTTAATTGAAAAGCAAAATTAGATTTTAATGTGGAAGAATTTTAATAAACATAATCACAACTCTCAAGAATAACCCAAAAAATACTATTCATTTTGTAGAAAAAATAAATAATAATTTTTTTTTTAATTTTTATATATTTTTTCTTTTTAAATAAATATTAATCCACAATAATTTTTTATATCGCAATAATAATTAAACTCAATCCAGATTGAAAAATAGTTAATATGTTGGAAAATAATATTGTAGAAAGTAAATGTGAAAAAAAAAAGAATATAAATTGATTTTTATAGTGGTTTGATTAACTTGACCTACATCCTCTCCCTGAAGTTTATTTGGTTGTAAATTCTAACCACAACACCAAAATCATTCATTTTATTCTTAAAGACCCATTTGGTTCCTACTACACTTTGGCCATTAAGTCTTTCTAAAAACTCCCAAACATTATTCCTAATAAATTGATTTAATTCCTCTTGCATGACTAGGATCCAGAATTCATCAGAAAGGGCTTGATTGATGTTGGTGGGTTCAGTTATTGATATGAAGGTTGAGTGGTTAACTTATTTTCTAAGTTCATGCCTAGTTCTAACACCTTTTAAAGGATCTCCTAAGATTAGTTTATTAGGATGACTCGAAGAATATCTCTAATCTATAGGAAAATTTATCATTATCTAGCATTGATTAAAAATACATTATTTTTTCACTTTTTTTTTAGTATTTTTATAATTTTTTTGTTTTTTTTTTAATTTTTTCTTGTTATTTATTTTTTGAGGCATCTTCTCATCAACTCCTTCTATCCTTAAAATTTATTTTTTTGTTCACATTGTCCTAGATGATATTCATATCATCCTGGGAAATATCATCAATTCACCCTTCATTATCCATATGATGACTGATATGACTCTATTACTTAAGATCGTCCTAGACGATCCACATCATCCTAGACAATCCATATTGTCTTGGACGATCTAATTAAATTCTGCCTTATTTATTAGTGATTGTCTTGGATGATCCACCTATTCGTCCTAGATGATTCATGTGGCAAAAATGGTTAAACATACTAAATTTGGCCGGTACGATCCATTATTTTCAATCATCCTAGACGATCCACCTGTTTGTCCTGAATGATCCTTTAAGTCAAAGATCATACTGGCTGACTCATTAAGATGATCACCTGTGTCTAATCATCCTGGATGATGTCTGATCGTCCTGGATGATATGATCAACTTTTTGACCAATCATCCCAGACATCATTATTGCTCCTGATCGTCCTGGATGATTCCATAATCGTTCTGGATGATGTCTCCGACCCTATATAAAATGATGTTTTGAACCGATTTTCTTCACTTCAAATTTTTTGAATCATTCTCTCTTTTAGCAAAAATCCTTTCTACGACTGGTGAAAAGTATTCCAAGATGCTTATTAGAAGCTCCTTGAGTGCCACTCGATTCACTGAGGTTGCTGACCAAGCTGTCTATCTTAGCTACAAAACTATTGGAATCACAACTTTCAAGGCTGCCAATTCGTACACCCTCACTTACCCGATCCTAGCTCAATCTATTCACTCACACTACTCTTACCTTTATTCTGACACTTACTTTCCCCTTTCATTATGAACTCCTCTACAAGATCTTTGCTAGTATGAGGATTAATTCCATATAAAATGCACTCCAATCCTAAGTTCAAAAACATCCCGTAGAAATCACATACCAGGACTGTTATGAACTTCTCAAACTTTTTACCACTGGTGACAAGTTTCATATATTATCTTCAGATATTGATTTTAACTGGGTCCTCTCAATTAATTCCTAAGAAACACTAAAGCCACCTATCATGACGGTGCCTCAAGCTCCTTAGTAAAAGATGATATGATAATTCAACATGTTTTTAGAACCTCTATGATCCCAAAAGCTGGTGATCGTGTTCATATAACTCCCTACTTTCAATCACCATATATTACATAATAGCACATAGTGACTTCAATGCCTTAGATATTCTTTTTCACTATATTGAGTATTTAACTAGTATTAGGGATCCAGCGCACAAAAGAAAACCCAATCT